TGTCATGGGGGGGCGGCCCCGCGGCCGGAGCCCGGCCTGCCCGAGCCTCACAGCCGGGCCTCTCCGCGCTGGGCCAGGCGCAGGGGACGCAGTTCGGGGCCGGCCCAACGTGTGACACCCGTGCGAGAAAGGGGCCCGATGAAATCGACGGGTTTTGTTCAGTATTCGGGCCACAAAATGGCAAATGAAGTTTAATGTTGGTGAATGTAAAAGTAACGCGCATTGGAAGAAATAACCCCAACTATTTGTACAATAGGGTGGGGACTGATTTAGCTGTTTGTACAATAGGGTGGGGACTGATTGAGCTACAAATACTGGAGGGAGCGATCTTGGTGTCATTGTGGATAGTTTCTCTGAAAACATCCACTCAGTGTGCAGCGGCAGTCAAAACAAACAAACAAAAAAAAAGCAAACAGGATGTTAGGAATCCTTTTAAAAAAAAGAGAGAGAATAAAACTGGGAATATTTGATTGGCTCTATATAAAACCGTGGTATGCCCACATCTTGCCTATTGTGTACAAATGTGATTGCCTCATCTCAAAAAAGATATATTGCCATTGGAAAAGGTTCAGAAAAGGGCAACAAAAATGATGAGGGGGTTTTGAACCGGTCCCATATTTAGGGAGTTTAAAAAGACTTGGACTTTTCAGTTTAGAAAAGAGGAGACTAAGTGGGGATGTGATAGACTCTATAAAATCATGACTGGTGTGGAAAAAGTGAATAAGGAAAAGTTATTTCCTTATTCCTACAATATAAGAACTAGGGGTCACCAATTGAAGTTAATAGGCAGCAGGTTTTAAACAAACAAAAGGAAGATTTCCTTCATTCAGTGCACAGTCAACCCGTAGACCTGCCAGAGGATGTGAAGACTGGGAAGTTAGCAGGGTTCAAAAACGAGCTAGATAGATTCATGGAGGTTAGATCCATCAATGCCTATTAGCCAGGATGGGTAGAAATGATGTCCCTAAGCCTCTGTTTGTCTGGAAATAGATAACAGGAGAGGGATCATATGTGATTACGTGTTGTATTTCCTCCCTCTGGGGAATCTGGTGTTGGCCACCGTCAGCAGATAGGTGGACCTTTGATCTGACCTAGTATGGCCGTTCTTATGTTATGTAAACTGTTACGTAAACTGAACTGGTTCTTCTAAGTAGTCTTGGCCATCATCCCAGCCACTTGAGAGCTTACATACATTTTATGATTTTAGTATCATTATTGTACATTTTAAACAATTTTTTGTTGTTGCCATATAAAACTTTCACACAAATTGTAGACAAAATCCACTGCTTCTGTAAGGGAATCAGTGAGACTGGCTATATGGAAGACCCATTAACCATAACGTGAAAAAAATATCGCTATATATTTTTCTTTAGTCCTTCTGTTACTCTAATCTTAATTGCTCATTGGCAGGGCTTGCCAAGCGGCGGTGAGCCCCACTCTTCTGCGCATTCGCAGATCGCTGTGCGCCGGCTCTTCTGGGTTGTAATCTACTTGCCATGGGTGAGTGGGTAGAGCTAGTGTGCTGGCTCCTCATAAGTGCTGGCTCCCGTGGAGCCACCTACCTCTGTGCTGTTATCTCTGATATAGAGGTAGCAGCATGGGGTGGAGGCGTTGGCTTGTTGAGAAGCCAGCTTTCAAGTTCTGCGCATTCGCAGATCGCTGTGCGCCGGCTCTTCTGGGTTGTAATCTACTTGCCATGGGTGAGTGGGTAGAGCTAGTGTGCTGGCTCCTCATAAGTGCTGGCTCCCGTGGAGCCACCTACCTCTGTGCTGTTATCTCTGATATAGAGGTAGCAGCATGGGGTGGAGGCGTTGGCTTGTTGAGAAGCCAGCTTTCAAGCTCACTTACTGGCTCCCTCTGAGCCATACTGTTCCCTTTCTCTGGGTTGCGGCCTCTGAATCAGAGGCAGCAGCTTGGGGGAGGGCAGAAGGCAGGATCCTTAAGTCTACTCCCCATGCGTTCTGGCTACTGGTGAGCTGACTGCCCTCCCACCTCTGACGCAGAGGCAGCATAGGTGTGTGTGTGAGAACAGGAGCCAGTGCTTGCGGGGAGCCAGTTTTAAAGTCAGATACCCATGAGCACTGCTTCCCCCCCAGCATGTAATTTCAGCAGATACAATTTGTTTGTGCAAATGTGTAACATACCTAACTAGAACAGCCTAGAACAAATTTTTTATACATGTTTTACAAAACTTATTAAAGTTTTAATTCTTTTAAAAATTAAGGAATTGTTAATACTGAGAATGGAATTTAAACATCCTTCTTCAGCTAGGTTAGTTGTAAAGAGCATAAAAGGTGAAACAAAAAATTAACAATCAAATCTCCACTTGTGTGATAACATAGGAAAGAGTTTTTATAAATAGGATGTGACTTTTTAAACCTGATAGATGTTTCAGTTAAAAAAGAAACTAACCTCCTCAAACTCCATGAACATGTGACTGGTTCCTGTTAAGGTACAAAGAGAAACCTTTCATTTGTTAGCCCTCTTATACAATTTCATAACAACCAGAGATGTGAAAGTTTAATCAGTGGGGGGCTAGAGCAGCTCCCCACCCACCACAGGCAGAGGGCTGCTCCAGCCCAGCGAGCCCTACGGTTAGAGGCTACTCCTGTTGGGCTGGAGCAGCCCCCCACCGCTGTGGTGGGTTGGGGGAATGCTCCAGCACGGTTGGGCTGGAGTGGCCACCCACCCATCCCGTTTAATTGGTTAACCACTTAAACAGGATTTTACATCCCTAATAACTGAGGCTCTGAAATCATAAGTGAAATACTCAAAACATGGATTAAAGTATGTAGCATAGACCAGTGTTTCTCAACCTTTTTTTGTAAAGTACCCTTTAAAAAACAATAGTACCCCCAGTACCTATGGTTTTCAGACACACAAAAATTTTTTCTACCATTGCAACACATTTGTTTAAACAACTTAATCGTAGATGGTTGCGCGTTGGAATTTTTGGTGTAAAAAGTACAAAAATAATAAAGTGCTGTAAAACTTAAAACAAAAAATTCAGTTTTCTCCAAATTTCAGTTGTCAACATACCCCCAGACTTCTCTTGAGTATCTCTAAGGATACTCGTACCATTGGTTGAAAAACACTGGCATAGACTATCTCGTTGTGGAAGCTCTTCTTAAATGAGTGAATGCGGTTTAAATGTGGCTAAAGCATGTCACTGGAAAGATCTGCATTCTGTTCTAGTACAATTATTTGAGCCTTTAAAGACGACATGTACTAGGCAACTGATTTCTTGAGTGAAACCAAGTCACATAAGACACATTGCTTTTGTTTTGTAAATATAAAAGCGGCGAGGAGTCCTGTGGCACCTTATAGACTAAGTGAAGTGTAGTCTTTGCCCACGAAAGCTTATGCTCCTACACTTCAGTTAGTCTATAAGGTGCCACAGGACTCCTCGCCGCTTTTATATTTACAGTGTATATAGTCACTTTGCAAAGGGGTATTTGGTACTATATATTACTGAGTGTGGATGTAGCATCTCATGAGCAGGTTGGAAACCAGAGAAAGGTCATCCTACTATATATATGAAAAAAGTTTTGAATTATCGAACACAAGCAGAGGAGAATCACCTTGTATGATATACAGATAATATTTTCCTTCATGCAGGAGTTGTTGGCTTGCCAAGTACCATGGTGGTTTGGATAGCTATGCCTAACCACTCTGTTCATTCAGTATGAGGAGGTGGCTGCCTGCAAAAGAGCATGTTCTCCCTTCTGTAGTGCTTCTGTTTGTCCTGGTTGTGCAGTCCATATGTTGATGGTAACGAGAGAGACAACTTTTCTTGTTTTAGGTTTCTGATACACTGAAGAGATTTGCAGTAAAAGTCACCACAGCCAGTGTGAAGGAACGAAGAGAAATTCTCAGTGAACTGGGAAGATGTGTCACTGGGCAAGGTACTTGTATTTCATCCATTCAAAGCATTGTTTTTTCTTTCTTTCATGGTGGGCTCATCTACACTGGCCCCTTTTCCGAAAGGGGCATGCTAATTTCACAGGTCGTAATAGGGAAATCCGCGGGGGATTTAAATATCCCCCGCGGCATTTAAATAAAAATGTCCGCCGCTTTTTTCTGGCTTTTAGAAAAGCCGGAAAAGAACGTCTATACTGGCCCTGATTCTCCGGAAAAAAGCCCTTTTCCGGAGGATCTCTTATTCCTACTTTAGGAATAAGAGATCCTCCGGAAAAGGGCTTTTTTCCGGAGGATCGGGGCCAGTGTAGACGTTCTTTTCCGGCTTTTCTAAAAGCCGGAAAAAAGCGGCGGACATTTTTATTTAAATGCCGCGGGGGATATTTAAATCCCCCGCGGATTTCCCTATTACGACCTGTGAAATTAGCATGCCCCTTTCGGAAAAGGGGCCAGTGTAGACGTAGCCATAGTGTGGAATGGCTTTAGGGGGTCATATGCTAAAGCAGTGGCTCCCAAGCTTTATTGGCTCTGATACCACCTTCTGAAAAAAATAGTGAAGTGAATGAATGTAATATCAAGCTCATGTGCCCTCAATGGTACCTTTGCCACAGTTGGGAAATTCCTACAGTGCACTTCATTTAAAAAGACCTGTGGAATTTTTAGCCCTTTTTTTGAGATCATAGGCATTGCTGTATATGCTTTTCCTGTTAAGCAATTCTAACAATGGTGTGTATGTACACATGTTATTGAGGTTCATGTCTCCTTTAGCATGGCTTGCTGGTCCTGGAGATTTTGCCTCATTTTCCTGTCCTGCCCTCTCCTCCTCCTTAAACAACTCTGAACACCGGTGGACCTTGATCTTATTAATCAAGGAAGTCCTCAGGCTTGGTTCAGTGGCATAGATGCTTGGCCAGGTTTATTGTTGACAAAGTACGGTCCTTCTGCCACATAAGAGCTACAGGTATACTAACACATGTATGCCTGCAACAGTGCAACTGCTCAGTCAGCACACCAGGATGCTGCCGCTGTGGCAAGTACAAAGTTGCCTCTCCTATGTTTTTGCCTTTTATACATTGATACAAACAAGTAACATATTCCATGTTTTTTGTTACTGTCTTGTGCCTTGTACCCCTTGTAGGGTTGCCCTGGCAGATTTTTATGAGATGAAATAAATACATTTTTATGACATCAAAAATACTTTTCATCATTGAGTGATATGTTGCCTTTTTACATGAAGTTCATTGGCATCCTTCAAGGTGAAAGGGTTTCTGTAAATGTGATGATAGTATTACTGGGCATAATAGCATGCTTTGTCTGAAAAGTGAATGCATCACTTCCAAAATGCTTCTGATATGAGAGCAAGCAGCCTACATCTGATTATACTCATCTGGGTCTCCCTTGTGACAGTGCGTAAATCTGCCCCATTGAGTTTTTTGAATGTTGTTCAGTGTAGATACAAAGAAAGAGGAGGAGGAATGAAAGCCTAGAGCAGTGGTTCTCAAACTTTTTGGCTGGTGGCCCATCTGGCTCAATGCAAACCTTTTCATGGACCACCAATTGCTAATGGAAACCTCACCATTAATTATATAATTATACCCAAGCCATTTTGCTAATGCTGCAGCTAAGGAGAGTGGTTTTAATTTAACCAGTAAGAAAGGAAACATTAATCTAAATTATTAAACAGACCAAGTGCTTTAACTTTCTCATGTTAGTTTATCAAACTTCATTTTAAATAAAGTAATATATTAATTTATGTCCAGCACAAAAGGTTCCCATGTTTTCTTTATTTGTGGCAAGGGTGGGAAACCTTAGGGCTTTCTCTCCCCTCCCTGCACCCCATTAGGAAACTGGCGCTGGCACTCCAACCTCATGGGGGGAAGGGAGAGGGAGGCTGGAGTGCCAGCATGGGCTCTCTATTGTGGGTGGAAGAAGTGGGGCTGAGCTCAAGCTACAGACAACCTGGAAGGTGGCCATGGACCACTTAGTGGTCTGCAGACCGCAGTTTGAGAACCACTGGCTTAGAGAGTAAATCCTTCAGTAGGTACTCCCTAAAATATTTGCGAACATATTTGATGCTGATGTCCAGGTAGTTTCACTCCAGGCTGATGTCCAGGTAGTGTTACCCTATTTCATGTAGGATGCTGAATCGTACATTATGTTTCTTGATTACAAAGAAAACTTAGAAGTTTTAACTTGTCTTCTGTAAATGATTCAGTACCTGATCCGAAGCTTATTGGCTTGTTGGAAAATTTTCTTTTTTGTCTGCGGGGTCTGGATCAGGCCCCAGATGGTATGTTTGTCATAGCCATGACTGTTAGGACTTTATATAAACTTTTGTATGAAATCATGGTCTTTGTCTCCCTGGCCAGGCTGTACTACAAATTACCACAAATGTAGCTTTAAATATGTCCAGAATAATGGGATTTTCAAATGCACTTCAGTAGTTTAAAATAACTTATTTTCAACCATTAAATGTATTTGACTTTTCTCACAATCTCCCGTGAGAAACTGCTTTAATATTAAAGTATTCTGTGATTCTATTCTCCCCCAATCCCCATTTTAAAAATTAAAATTCTGTTTACCATTTTTTTGTTATGATAGTCAATCAGTCTGGGTCCCTGATCTTGCAAACACTTAATTTTACTACCATGAATAATGTCATGGGAATCAAGGGGGCTACTCACTGTAGTATAATGAAGCATGTTCATGTTTGCAGGATTGGAACCTTATTGATGATTCCCAAATAAACACTTTTGAATTCATTTATTTCAGATCTGCCAGAGAGTGCTGTTAAAGGCCTCTGCAAATTATTCTGCCTCACACTGCATCGTTACAGGTAAGTATGTGGGACTAGGAAGGCTGTGTATCTGGTGGTTGAGCTTGACTGTAATATTTTTCATATTGTGTGGATGTAGTGTATAGTATAGAGATTTGTCATAAAAGAATGCTATCCAGTAAGGTAGGCCCAACATTCAGTGGAAAAATAAGTTTTAAAACATCTAATGAGAAAAATGCATCTCTTCAAGTAAAAAACAAATTAAGATCTTGATCCTGCAATTCACTGCATGAGGGCATCCCTGTGTCCTTGTAGAGCTCAATGAGGATGCAGGATTTGGCTGTAACTGAGAATTTTGAGTTATTCTGTGTTTTGAAGTAAAGAAATTGTTGAAATGTCCCCTTGGACTTGCCGGAATCATATTAATCCTGTTTCATGGTATCAGGTTGTCTGTTGTAATAGGGAATTGTGCTTTGAATTGATTTATGTAAATGAAAATAGAACCTTCTATGCCTGTTGGCCAGTCTGATTGAGAAGAGGAGACAAAACTTTCTAATAGTAGGAATATAAGAGTGTAGCTGTTTGAACAGGTAACTGATAAGCATGAGCTTATTGGTTGCCCAAATGGCTGCATGAGGTTCCTGGTCCTGTTCCCTGGGAGCCACCTGCTTCCCTGCGCTGCTGCCTCTGTATCTTATGCAGAGGCAGCAGCGTGGGGTGGCAGGTGGGAGACAATATGTGCATGTAGCGGGCTTAAAAGCAGACTTCCAGTGTACACTGGCTCCAAGGGAGTTGCCTGCTGCCCTGTACTGTTGCCTTTGTATCAGAGGCAGCAGTGCAGGGAGGTAGGCGGGAGCTGATATGTATGGGGAGCCAGCTTAAAAGCCAGCTTCCCACATGCATTGGCTCCCCGGCAGCAGCCCCCCTCATGTAACTATGTAACTGCTGAATTTTTCAGCGGTTAGATGGTTATTCACTTACACACATTTTAACATTCCTACTGTATGGAATGTAGAATTTAGTATCTGAAACACTGACAAGACTGGTAATATTTACAGAAGATGTTTCTTTTTCTTTACAGAGATGCAGCATCCCGCAGAGCCCTGCAGTCAGCTCTCCAGCAGCTTGCAGAATCCCAGCCAGAAGCAACAGCAAAGAATCTTCTGCAGTCCTTGCAGTCTTCTGGGATCAGTGGCAAGGCTGGAGTTCCAAGGTGGGGGCAGACTGATATTCCTATTTCTTCACATGCAGCCATTTTGTGAAATGCTGCCAATCAGCTTCTTGCATCCAGAATTAAAGCTTTACTATTGAGAAGAATTAACACTTACTTCTTCAGGCAGAATTAGGGAAAGTTGAGGGTTCTTATTTTATTCACACTGACCACTCCACCCGTCTTGCCTTAGAAGCACCATCTTTTCCAAGGAGGTGACTAAAAGAAACTTCTAATTGAAACCTGTTTTGACTTTCTGATTGCTAGTACTTCTTTGTGCAGACACAACAGACGGAATGGCCATAGGGAAGGGAGAGGCTTAGTTTTAGTGAAATTCAGAAAGCAGGGTTGGGATGGATTCCTATCTCCTTTCAGTAGATTTCAAGTACATGCAACCGGGTTTAAGCTGCTTTATCAGAGAATGACCAGGAAAGGGACATCAGCTGATTATTCATCTAATTATTCCGCGGTTTAATGTCAATACTTTATTATAGACATTATAAGGAAATGTGTGAACTTAATGTACTTTTGTAGATTCTGTGGTATGTTCTTGAGATTCATTTCTAAAACACTTTATTGCTGTTGTATTACATCAGTAACCAGAGATCTTGGGCATTCATTATTCTGCCTTCTGAGTGCTAGAGCCAGCTCCTGCTCTGGGGCAGCCTGTGTTGGCTGTTCAGCTGCTCCCTGGATGCCTGGGAGGTAGAAGGAGGATGGGATTCGAACCCCCAACCTTGCACTGTAGGGGAGGGGTCCAAAGGGAGGCATGGCCTCCAGCTTAACACGAGTCACAAAAATTCACCCTCTGATTCCTGCATCAAACCCAGTAACTTGTAATTTGAATTTATCTGTGTGAGGTGGTAGTTACCTCTTTAGTTACTGTGTGGCATCAGCTGGCTCATCAGCTGTTGTTCTCTCCAGGGCTCGACAAATACACTCGCCCGCTCGCCTGTGGTGAGTAGATTTTGCCAGCTGGTGAGTGCAGGGGCAGACTGGCCCAGTGGGCCATGGTGATGGGCTGGCCGATGCCCGCACTACGGGCGGCACGACCCCATCCAATCTGCCGGCTGGTAGAGGAGCAGAGCGCCATTGAGAAGGGGGAAGTGCGGTGATTCCCAGTGCCGGGCTGCCTCTGTGCAGAGGGCGGGATGCCGGCAGATGGGCTGGCATGACGTGGTGTCCTGACGTCGCACCTGGCGACCACCGGATTCAAAAAGGCTCCGGCAACCCCGCAAAGTGGAAGGCAGAAGCCAGGTAGCGGAGGGGAAGGGGCTTGTGCTGAGAAGAGGGAAGCGGAGGGGAGGGGAGGAGGTCAGGAGAAGAAGAAGAAGAAAGGAGAAGGCACCAAGGGACAGGGGTGCAGGAGAGAGAAATGCCAGGGGGTCAAGTGCAGACAGTGAGGAAAAGGGCAGGAGGGGAGGTGTCAGCAGGAGGGGGGACAGGATGATGCCGGGAGAGGAGACGGTAAGGGCATTGGAGGCTAGAGGGGGGAAGGGGAGGTGCTGGGAGAAGGCTTAAAAGAAGGGGTGGGCATGAGGAAGGCAGGGATGGAGCAAGGCATGTGTGAGGGCACAGGGGCATGAGGGAAATGGGGGCAGAGGGTGGTGAGGGTGTGGGTATCAGGGAAAAAGAGGACAAAGGGGGCAGGGGCAGTAAGGGAAGGGGGAGGCACCAGGAGGGAGCAGGTGCCAGAGGATTCTGGGGGGGAAGCAGAAGGGAAGACACCTGCAAGGGAGGGACCAGCACCAGAGGAGAGAGGCAGGGCAGGTGTGTAGAGGGAGGTGTTAGGAGAGGGGATGAGAAGGGGTAGCTCACATGATCAGAGTGGTGCTACTGGAGGAATGGGCACAGGGGGGAGAGAAGGGCTGGTGGAAGGGGGCAGGTCTCAGGAAGGCTGAGGGCAACGAGAATGGCAAGAGTCAGGACAGCAGAGGAGGGTGAGGGGTTGGGGAGCAGCAGGCACCAGGGGAGCTGATGGAGCAAGGGGAGGAGACATGGCAGCAGAGGGAAAAGGTAGAGGTTTATAAGATATTTATTAATAACTTGGCTGATATTTATTAATAACTTATTAGTAATTTCTGTTCTTATTCTTATTAGGAATTTATGCCATTTAAAAAAACCCGGGGGGGGGGGGGGGGGGGGC